CACTTTGAAATGGGTCCCAGTAGCCACTGAAGCTCCAATTAGCGCATACGAGCCATTCCCAACTGCAACGCCATCATCTAGAGTCAAGAGATGGAATTCCTTCCTTAGCCAAATTGACCTGACTATTGCGGACACCCAAGCTGATTTGCAACAAGGAGTGGACGAATCGTATACCATCGACATAACCCAAGCATCGCACTCGGTCAATATCACTGCCAAGACCATCTGGGGCGCCCTTCATGCCTTCACCACTCTCCAACAAATCATCATCTCCGATGGCCAAGGAGGTCTTATGATTGAGCAACCAGTCTCGATTGTGGACTATCCCAACTATCCTTACCGGGGAGTAATGATTGATACAGGCCGGAACTACATCGGGGTCCCCAAAATCTACGAGCAGATCGACGGCATGGCGCTCTCAAAGTTGAATGTGCTCCACTGGCATATGGTCGATGCTCAATCGTGGCCGATTCAGATCCAGAGCTATCCACAGATGACTCAAGCTGCTTATTCTTCCCAAATGGTCTACTCACAAGACGACATTCGAACCATCATTGCTTATGCGCGAGCTCGGGGCGTTCGAATCATTCCTGAAATCGATATGCCAGGCCATGCGTCATCTGGTTGGACGGAGGTTGATCCAAGCATTGTCGCGTGCGCGAACTCCTGGTGGTCGAATGATGTCTGGGAATACCATACAGCGGTAGAGCCGAATCCTGGACAGCTCGACATTCTCAATAACAAGACATACGAAGTCATCAAGATCATCTACAGTGAACTTTCGGGGTTATTCACCGACAACATCTTTCATGTTGGTGCTGACGAGATACAGACTGGGTGCTACAATTTCAGCACGCAGGTGCAACAATATTTCGCCCAAAATTCCTCACGGGATTTCAATGATCTTCTTCAAATCTGGGTCGACACTGCAGTTCCAATTTTCACTTCCGTTTCAAACAAGACGTTGATGATGTGGGAAGATGTCGTCCTCAATTCCTATCCACATGCGCACACGGTCCCCACGAATATTATCATGCAGACCTGGAACAACGGATTAGAAAACATCCAAAACCTGACCGCACTGGGCTACGACATTGTCGTGTCTTCTTCCGACTTTTTCTATCTGGACTGCGGATTTGGGGGATGGGTGACTAACGATCCTCGATACAACGAGATGGCCAACCCCAACGCCTCGGTGCCGACGTTCAATTACGGAGGCGGGGGAGGCTCATGGTGCGCACCGTACAAGACCTGGCAACGCATTTACGACTACGACTTCACCCTCAATCTCACCGACGCGCAGAAGAGCCACGTGTTAGGCTCGGAAGTGCCTCTCTGGTCAGAACAGGTCGACGACACGGTCATTTCCTCCAAGATGTGGCCGAGGGCCGCCGCCATGGCTGAACTCTCTTGGTCCGGCAACAGGGATCCCACAACCGGGATCAAGCGGACGACGCAGATGACGCAGCGCATTCTGAACTTCCGCGAGTACCTGGTCGCCAACGGTGTTCAAGCGACGCCACTGGTTCCGAAGTATTGTCTGCAGCATCCTCACGCCTGCGACCTGTACTACAATCAAACGGCGCTTGCAGACTACGCGACGACGCAATAATCTGGGTGCGGATAGCCTCTGTGCTTCTGTCTCGAGAGACACTCTATGGTATGAAGGGAAATGGCACATGTCCATAAATATATTATTGAAGAACGGGGGAAGTGGGCCGCGAGATAATACTTGCTTGCCTTCTACGCGAACAGGCAGGTTTCACTTGTTGCAATGACAATACAACTCTTCGACGTAAGGCCAGTCGTAAAGGCTGAATACGTAGAACACTACGAAAGAAAACCAGGCAATTGAATTCCCCAAGCATCGTGACTGCTGCTTCATACCTAAGGATCATGATTCACGGGAGATTCGCCAGCCTTGTCTCTCACGCACCTACGCGCATGCGTGGCTTCTTCCAAGAAATTCCGAGACGCCACCGGGCTTCAACTCCGAGATCGGCAAGGGCGAGGTTTCGAGACCCGGCGCTCGCAAGCTCGTTCTCCAACTGTGTAAATTTAGTTCCCGAGGCGAAAGCGCACTCGAAACGCGTGATAATGAGGGGGTCTCGGCAATTGATTGGGGGGGGAAATCGAAATATATATAAGTACTCGGTACAGACAGTACTACAACATGGTTATATATCCATGTATGTGATCTCTGTTTTCTGTTTATTGGTGAGTCCTAGGCCGTCCGCCGCAAGATAGAATCTCGGCTGGTGCATTTGTCCTGCCTAGAATCTCGTATTCATCAGCTAGCGCTTCAAGGTCCCAAGATACCCCAAGTGTACAGTCCCATAATGCCTGCTACCGCGGAGGCCGTCAATGGCCATAACTCACAAAATGGTGTAAATGGAACACATAAACCAGACGAGATACCCGTCACGAGCATCTTCGCGCACTTTGTCGCCAATGCAAATACCGATGATCTCACGCCTCACATACGAGACCGTCTTAAAGAATACATTATCGACTTCTTCGGTGTCACACTGGCAGCGAGCCACTCGTCGGAATCGACACTGCCATTCTGCAACGCCGTCAAGGCTCTAGGAGGACAGAATAATGGCTCATGTACAGTCCTTGGTAAAGGCAAAACTTTTACCCCTCAATATGCCGGTTTATTGAATGCCACCCTGGGCCATTCTTTGGATTTTGACGACACGTATGCGAAAGGGACGCTGCACGCCGGTGTCACTGCCATCGGCGCAGGCTTGACACAAGCAGAACTGTTGGGCGATCAAGCGAGCATGGACCGGTTTCTGCTGGCAGTTGCTGTAGGATATGAAATCACCTGTCGCTTGGGCAAGGAACTTGGCAATGATGCATACTCTCGCGGCTTTCACAATACGTCCACGGCCGGAATCTTCGGTGCCGTTGCAACCATCGCGGTCCTCAAAGGCTTGCCGATCGAGACCGTCGAGAACGCATTTGGCCTAGCGGGCTCAAAGGCAGCCGGATCAATGCAATATCTCGAGAATGGAAGTTGGAACAAGAGACTTCACCCGGGCTTCGCAGTGCATGATGCTTTTGTGTGCGTGGCTCTGGCGGAGGCAGGTGTTATTGGCGCGGCCAAGATCTTTGAAGGCACATTCGGCTTCTTGCATGCGTACAGTCCGAAACCAGATAAGGATCTGACATACCTCACTGCAGATCTAGGTAAGAGATGGGAATTTCTCGAGACGTCTCTGAAGCCATTCCCAGCTTGCCGCATGACACACGGCTTCATCGAACATGCCGTGAAACTGGGGCGTGACAGGGGCTGCTCGAAAGCCCAGGATGTCAAGAGCATTACTTTGGCCCTGAGTCCCGCAAACGTGAGCGTTGTCGGTGCACCGATCCCCAACAAAGTCCATCCGGAGAACATGGTCGACGCCCAATTTTCTGCTTATTTCACAGCTGCGAACAGTTTCCTGTACGGTTCCGACAATGGCGTCCGCTGCTATGAAAAGGACAGGCTCATGGACCCCCAGATCCGAGAGCTATCCGACAAGATCAGATGCGTCGGCGATAGCTCCATCCGAGAGTTTGGTTCCAAGATGAAAGTCGAGTATGCGAATGGGGAGGTCGCCGAGATTGACATTCCCTATCCCCTAGGAGAGTTGCAACATCCTTTCACGAGGGAGCAGGTTGATGCCAAGTTCTTCAGTCTCGTAAACCCGATATACGGGGAAAAGACGGCGAGGAGGATACGTGATGCGGTGGATAGCATTGAGAAACATACTGTGAGCGAATTGCTCGGGATGTGTTGAGTAATCCATGGTCAAAGGAGAATGAAGCACTATGCATCACGTAAGTTAGCGGTTTAGGTCGATCTTTCCTAGGTTGATGGGGTTATAATCCCCATAGAGGCCCTTGCCCGATGCATTCCCGTTTCTGATTCTTGTCGAGACCAGAGTGTAATGAGGCTCTCAGTGGGATGCACCTGGCCGAGACAAGGCTTCGCTTTTCATCATCTTTCCTCGCCCAGGCATTGCGCTCTTGCCAAGGTAAAATGAATCCAGTCACGGCAGTCGGCTTACTGGCAAGCCTCATCCAGCTAATGCATTCGACCACCAGTGCCATCAATACCTGAACGATGTCAATAATGCCCCTAAGGATCGAGCGAGGCTTACACGGGTAGCCACCAGTCATTTGGCACTCCTAACAGACTTGAGGTATAGAGTCGAAGAGGCAAACTCGAAATATCAATGGCTCACTGGTATTCGATCACTTGGAGTGAAGGGGGATCACTGGTGCAGTTTAACGGAGCCATAACAATCCTTACGAAGAGATTGAATCCTGAGAAGGGATTAAAGAAGGCTGGTAAGAGGCTGCTCTGGACACTTGACAAAAAGGAGATCGACGGGATTCTGTTTGAAATTGAACATTGAAGATACTGGTCAATCTTTCATTGCAAGGGCTTCAATTGTGCGCTTCCAGATAACCACCCTCAGTTATGCACCATAAATTGACTACCTTTAGCTTGCTGTCACAAGCAATAAAAACGGATACTGCGCAGGTAGCAAAGGGGTCCCAAGACGAAAGAAGCCAAGACATTGTGACCTGGCTCGCTGGGTATGCTTTCCTACTAAAAAAAAGGTATGATCATTTTCAGCAGTCAAAGAAGCCAGAAGGAGAAAATAGTATCTTTTCGAATAGTTGTCACTGAGACTGATGATATGATCTGTCCCAGAACTATTGTGATAAGAAAAGAGAGGTTCATCAAGCCGTGCCGAGGGGGATATTCAGGATGATTGTTGGTGCATACCGACAGCAACACCGGATATGTCCTCGTCTTCGCAAAACTCCTGCGCTCGCGCCATAGGTGGCGCGGTGGAATCATCATGGCTCACGTGCAAATTGCTCATTCTTCGGAATTAAGGGCATCTGACTCCGGCTTGGCGACAGCGGGGCGCACATTTGGGGCCGAGCCAAGTACTTGTAGGTTTTTCTCAAATATTCTTCACACGCTATCCTCACACTTATCCGCTCCTCTTCCAACGGCACTCCCACCATCGTTCTATCCCCGTGTCATCCCTCATGGTAAGGAACATGACTCGAGGTTGCGCCAAGTCCCCCCCTGTGTCAACCTCAAGCGTCGCTCCGGGCTTGATCTTGTCGACCTCGATGACTCGGTGGGATTCCGGTCGGTCCGGCCTAGAGCACTGAATGATAATAATCTGTGCGGTTGCTGGATACTCAATCTCAAGGAAGAGCTCCATATCATGAAAGTCGATTTTTCGGCTCATGCCGTCCGAACGTGGCGTGCTGCATTGACCCCGTGGTCGTCCATGCATGCCACGCTCGGACGGCATGTCGCAGGTTCGACTTTTATGATCTCTTATGACACGAGGAGCTTCTACAAGCTGCTCGGAATCGAGACTCATGCAAGATCGAACCTGCCTCTGTGTTATTTGTCCGGGTGAGTGTTGCAGTCCAGGAATCTCTCCAATGCCCGGAGACGAATAGGATATACCTAGTTTGGGGATCAAGGCATTTCTCGGTAACAGGTGTCCCTCGGGTTGTTCTTCATTGTTGATATAGGGTCCACCTGGCTCTTCTATGGGGTTTCTGATGGGCGAGGCCCTCGTGTCCGACTGTGCCTGAGCTGTAAGCAGCTTGACGTCCTGATTGATTGCGGCAACGGCTGTTTCTTGCAGCTCGCCACTTGCCGAAGTTGTTCCACCAGTTTCGAGCGGTCCCGGAATAGCAGGGACGATTTGCACGAGTGGAAGCGAAGGATAGTTGTGGTTAGCAGATGGTGGCGAGTATGGGAACAAGTTCAGCTGTGACAATGTCTGCCAACTCATGGCAGCATCGAGCCGGCGTGGGTGCGGAATTTTGATCAATCTTTGGAGCTCGCGATTCATTGAGCCAATAATATTTTGGTACCGACTCCGTTGAGTTGGACTGAATCGGTCAAGATCTGGGATCGTCCAGTGGGGAGTCAATTTACCATGAGTTCGGGGAACGAAATACGTCCCGTGCCCATTGATGAACAGTTCACAAAGAAAGCATGCTGCTTTGCTGGAGGCAATTGCTCGTGGTTTTCTCCAGTCCGAAGGCCCTCTCAAATCCTGGTCGACCACCAGCTGTACTTCGGCATGCACGTGACAATCCCGACTCCCACCGTCGACTGCGGGGATGGGCGATGGAACAGTTTTATACGCACATACATAGCGGATACTGAGATTGACACAGAAGCGTCGATATTCTTGGTGTGAGGCGATCGTACTCAACGTCTCCGCGATGTGACAGTAGCTGGCAATCTTCCCAATCTGTCGAAGGTGTGGATTTCCTCGTGACCCATCCACGTCGACGCCAACCTGACGGAGCATGTCCGTCACACTCTCCCCATCTGTTGTTGCTTCGAAGAAGGCATAACATGCAACCACGAGTCTCTTGACATCCTCGATCGTCTTTTGTCCCCCGGCCCGATTACAATAGTCTCCCAAAGAGGTGCAAAGGGTTTGAAGTCGACTAGACAGAGTTTCGCGATGGCCCGACTGCGAGGTCGCTTTCGTCAATATATCCAGCAACCCGTCTCGAACTATATACAAAGAGCGCTTGCTCTTGAGACGGCCGTCAATCCGGGCCTGGTTCAACCGTACAATCAACTCCAGAATGCCGTCTTTGCATTGATCTCTAGTCTTGTCTGTGATGCCGTCAGCCACGCTCTTTCGTGACTCCGCTCTGAAATATTCATGTACCTTCTCGGGCCGTTTCTCGCAAGATCGCGGCTACCTCGTCCATCCTGTCTTTGACTCCCGGCCGAATCTCTTCATTGGCCGCCAAATTCAGTCGGAGTCCTTGGGATGGGTTCTGAGGTTGCTCTATCGCTACCGCCGTGACGGATTCCACGCCCTTTTTGGCCGCGGAGATGAATGCAACGCCCTTCGCGAGCTGAAGCTCTACTGTAATTGGAACAACGTCGTCTCTGGTGGTACTTTCTGTAGGGAGAGGATACGTTTGGGGATCCTTGGGCTGTCCATGGGTGATTTTCCACAGTTTACCGATGTTCCGCTGGAACTGTGCTTCTTCCAAAGGGCCCCAAATTGATCTTCGTGCAGGAGCTGTTCGGGGATCCATACTATGAAAGGCCATTGAACGATTTGTATAGCTGAGAGTCCAGGAGCATTTGCTTCAATCTACCCCGCCTCGTCCAATCCACACAGCAGGATTTGGCATCCCCTCCGCTTGGCTGAAAAGGGTCTAAGACGAACACTGATATTAATTGCTTCGCCATTCGGGTTTTACCTCACGCGTCAGTCGCCTGCCCAAGGCTGCGTCTTGAGGTATATCAACCAACTGTTGTCGCCTGCAAACGGTCACATATGAATTCCTTCATCCAGCCTCGATGAGCGAGTATCATTTTTGTGTGGTTTTAGTATCTCATTATGTTTTGCCTTGCCATGTTACTTTAGACATAGGTCTCTGCGATATAGTGACACTTCCCCAGAACGCGCAAATCTGGCGCCTTCTCTGAGAGATCCTCCTTCACCCAATCCCTTTCCCATCATGTCGAAACTTCCTGTTCTAGCACAGGCCGGCGCACACCATTTTCGGTCGAAAATATCCTCGCTACCAATCGATATTTCAAATTTGCACCCTTTTTCGATCCTGTCAAGCATGCTTCCCAGATCCGAGTGACCAAAGTCAGCTCCTGCTACTTTGCAGCATTGCCACCCATGCCTTATACGACAGAGCCAAGTTCGTGGATTCTCGTGCTAAGGGCAGGCAAAAAAAAACATGGCGGCTATATAAACCAAGCAGGTGGATCCGGGAGGGGAGACTCTGCTAGTTCACCATCGTCCATAGCGAGTCGCAAGGATGGGCAAACAGCTGGCTACTGCCGATGCACCGGAAAACCCGTATTGCTAGATAGTTAGACACACCTATCCATTCTAGCTCGATGAGGTACAGACTTTCTGAAGGGGCGTGCAGACCGTTCGTAGGTAAGTGAGTTGACCGAGAAAGAGCATACGATGGCTAACCGCGGTGCGCGTGCTCGTTGGTGGTTTGCCTGGCCTGCCTTCCAGACGTACCTAGTACATAAACAGTGAAGGGCTACAAGTCGCCGTTAACCCCTTGATTACTTATCGCGCCCTTTTCCATTCGACATAATGCTCAAGACCGGTTAGACTGGATCCCAACAGAGCATCGAATTCTTCTTGAGCACCATCTTGACCTGGTTGCAGCTTCAGCTGTGTGGGCCATGATTCGGTCACAGTGTTGGCTTTCATCTCCACCTTCAGATCGCGTGAGATCTCTCGGAATTGATGGATATTCATATATCTAGAAGTATCATCAGCTTCCGTCCAACGATTCTTAATTTGCGAGCCAGGTCTCTTTGCTCTTCCCGCTCACCTTTCAAAGAATTTATCCACATCGAGCGCCAAAGTACGAGCATCCCAGAGGCGTAACATTTCGGCGCTGTTGTTCGTAGGAGGTGGAAAAAATCGGAGGCTTGGTAGATATTGAGTGAGAAGCCCCACGTCTGGTACCTGGTCCTTTTCGGGTCCTCCTTTGATCACTTCCATTACTGCGTTCAAGTAGAGTGTGACCAGCACTGCATGTGGATTCTGCTTGAGAGACCGGAGTACTGGCATCAGAGTTGCGAGCACCCCTCGGGTTCCGACATATCCTACATCGGAGATATTGGCCACCTACTACCGCATAAGTCTCACGAATCCCTTTTCCGAGTACCGACATACCTACTTCTATCCTGTCGTATCGGTTTAGATCCAGATGACGCGGAAGTGCTGTCACGTCACAAATATAAAGTTCAAAGTCAGTTGTGCCAGCGTCGAGAAAATGCAAAAATTTTCCTACGACCACGCCAAGGTAAACAAACAGCTTTCCGTATGCATCTTGCGAGGCTGTGCAGGACGTCCGACGCACTTCCCAAACTGGCCATCCCGATAAAGGGTCTGCTTGATCATCTATGGGCCAGGCCCGGGACGATTGAAAGAACATCCTAACAGAGAGCATGTCAGATGCAAAAAGTCCTCTCCGGGATGCAAGAATCCCCCCATCGCTAGAACTTACGGATTGGGAATCCTGAATTCATGACGCGGATGCCCAAAGGGAAACAGGAGACCATCTTCGCGGAACCGTTGTTTAGCAATTCGCATAGAGGGCGTCTCATCCTTGAAATACCAGCGATCTCGATAATCAGCTCGCTCGGGAGCAAGAGTAACAGCAACAAGGATTTTCCGCGCCTGATCCTCAGTCAGTCCTTTCGGCACGGCAACGAAGCTTTGGAACAGAAGCCAGTCTTCTTTCTTCAGAACGAGCCGCAGAGTACTTCCAGACGGAAATCTCCAGGTTTTCCCCAGGAGGGTATCTGCCGGTCTGTGAGCAATTCCACAGCAGACCTCATCGATTAGTGGTTTGACTCGGGTTTGCAACTCTGATGAGACTTTTGGAGGCAGGAACGCCGAATACCAAACATGAATCAGGGTTTCTGTCACAGCGTACGGTTCACTCGCGGTACCAGTAGCCCTTGCGTCTTGACTTGTCAGCGCGAGGAGAAGCAGGGTAGCATTACGCATAACGACATGCAGTTCTCGATCGTTGATACAAACTTGAACTCGGCCAGGATATTGACTCGGTAGACTCCCAATCGTTTTCACCACATTTCTTAGGTCCCCCGATGCTAACGTTAGGTGTCTGTATCAGTTTGATTTCTCTGTTCTTTTTTCCCTTTGAAAAGTATCAAACGGAAAATACATTACCGGCGAACAACAGTGCAAGGTCTTGATTGTAGTCATAGCCCTCATTTTGTTCGAGTCGTAGGATGTCAATAGCCGGGACGTTCCCCCACAGATATTTGCCGCCTCCGTAAGGATTGTGGAGGTTCCTGGAAAGATCACCGCTAGCCCACGCAGGCTCGCGTCCGTCGAGTTCCCATCGCGGGCGCCAACCAGGCTTGCTGAGCGATGATTTGCAGACCTTCTTGTGTTCCGGCCAATGGTTCTTCTGACAAGCTTTCCCACAATACTGCTTTTCACATCAGAAATTGAACATCACAGGTCAAGACTGGAGAGGCTCTAACTGCGAGCAGTCTACAACCCCCACAGGCAAGCTTGCCGTTGTTCATACAGTTGTTACCGTCGGGTTTCCAATTGGCACAAGCATGTGGAATTGCTGGGGCGGTTTCCATCGCGGCGTAGAGGGCCTATGTTCATTTAGACGGGTGAATGTCAGATTCTACGGAGGATCCAGTATATACATTTGTTCTGTGGATTGCTTGCCATATTAAATTCTGGCGTCTGCTGCCTATCTTGGCACCAGAAGATGAGGAAAAAGGCTCCGAGCTCACGTGCGACTCCCTCACCAAGCACTCACCTTGACCGGTCCTTCTTGACATTCTTTTTGACTTTTAACCACATTCGTATCCTCCCTCGCTGGACCGAGCCTCAACATTGTGCCTCAATCCTTCCAACGGAGGACAAACCTGCCCTGGTGCCCGTTCGGACAGCTAGCTCTGCTCCTCCAATCGTGTCTCCCGTGCAAAGCAAAATATCTTGGCCCGGGTTTTACAATACTGCCTGTGAGAATGCGTAGGCCTTCGGCAAGGAACGTCACGCTCAGGGGTATCTAGTCGCCTACGGAGTCCGCAGGCTACATCAAGTTTGCCTAGCTAGGTATCTTGTGCCATGGCTTGCGTGGCAATTCTGGCGTTACTTGCAGTCCGAAACCAAGCCGACGTTCGGAATATACCTGGATTCAGTCTCTCGATCATATAATCGTCCAGTAAGCCTTGCGCTTCCGGCCGAAACATGACCAGAAGGCTTATAGATCAGTCTGGCGGACAGGGATACCGAAATCTTCCGCTGCATTTTTCTCTTTAGGGTTGACGGTGACGATGTCCTTTGGTTGCGAAACTTGTAATGCGAAATGCGGAATGCTGAATGCGAAGAGCAGCGGCCTATAAAAAAGAGCATAAGCAGGCGATGTCAGGATATGGATGTTTAGAGGTTGAGATGGCGGCATTTGGCTTATGACCGACTACTACTATTCAATATTCTCATTGGCGCGCTCGGACGGCTTCAAAGATCCGATATCTTACGGAATGCTTGCTCCACGCCAATGTATCGACAATACCGTTTCCGGACATTCCAATCCTTGTCAATCCGCGGTGAAATCCATTCACATTTTTGTTCTTGTCCTATCTGCCTTGCAACACACCTGCCCCCTTTTCGCGTTTCTCGTCCCCTTCCCCTTTCTAAACCGGCTCTCCCTTTTTACTCACACAAAAGAGAGAAAGCAAGATCGCCGAAGAAGACGAACAAAATGCCCGAGGCTGGCTACATTCCACAACGGGCGCTGTCCAAATTTGCGCCGTCAGCGGGGCCGGACCTGCACGCCGTGCACGCGCACTGCTTCTGCAACCAGTACGACCCGACGAGCAACCCCGGAGGCATCGTGGCGCTCGCAATCGCCGAAAACAAGCTCATGCGCGACGAGATCTGCGCGCACGTCAACGCCCACACGGCCATCAATCAAACCTGTCCCCGTGCCCTTCGGCGCAGATATGGAGCCCGTCTTCGCCGCGGCGGTTCCCTTCTACGAAGCTGCCTTGCACCAATCCAATGCCTCGGGGTAACCAATTAGGGCGATCCTCCTTTCTAATCCGTACAACCCACTCGGAGGACCGTAAGAGAAGGACTTTCTCGTCGGTATCATGCGTCTCTGTTCTAAGTACAACATCCACCTGATCTCCGACGAGGTCTAAGCACGCTCAAATTCCCCAACACCGATATCCCCAATCCGCCTCCCTTCGTCTCAGTCCTTTCGTTCAACCTGCAAGAGTACATCGATCTGTCTCTAGTCCATATGATATATGCGATGAGCAAGGACTTCTGCGCCAATGGGATCCGCAGTGGTGCTTTGATTTCACCTTCTAACGGTAAAGTGATGAAATGTTTCCGCGCCGTGGCCAGTTTCAGTCGTGCATCGCAGCTCGCGGAAACATGCCTGGTTGAATTTACTCAACGACGGGCCCTTTTTGGATACCTATTTTCCGCTCCTTCAACAGAGGATGACGGATGCTTATGAGTTCACCACGTCATTCCTGAAACAGCACGCTTCCATATAACACGGCGAGCGCGACGAGTTTCATCTGGGCTGATCTGAGAAGGTATCTCAGGGAGGATAGCGTCGAGGCGGAGCTATCATTAAGCTGGAAAATCGCCCATGTTGGTTGTGTGGTTGGCTATGGGAGCGAGCTTTGCCAGTGAAAAGAACGGCAATTTTAGAATTACCTTTGAGACCCCGAGAGAGGAACTAAAGATGGGACTGGAGAGGTATGACTGCGCCGCTCCCCATGTGCGTGGACGGAGACATGCTGATTCTCTTTCGCCGCTAGGTTAATTAACGTATTGAAGGACGCCGAAGAAGACATGAAGAAGTTGAAAACAGCACGAGCTTCGGATAAATTGGTTTTGCTAGACGAATGAGAAGAGATTGGGAGAGAGAAGCCATTAGATTAAATGGAGGGTAGAAGCTCGGGCCGTTATGGATGTGTATTCAGTGTCGAGAAAGATGTGAATAGCGATAAGTGAAGAGCAAAGCGAAGCCTCGAGGTCGGAGAGGTTTTGTCTGAGCAAAAGGTAACATGTATCAACCAACATGGTATGGATGGAGCATGGCTCCAATGTCGCGTAAATGCCGAGGGTAATCATAGCCAAAGCACTCCGTCAACTTCGCAAGGAAGGTCAAGATATTCTCCAGCATCGACCTGTTTTATGCTCTCCATTGTACCGAATATGGATGTTGGGTGGCCGCTAGTAGATTTCGTTGTAACGGGAAGATCTCTATCGGGAGTGGCATCATCGGCGTGAGCGCCATGCGACTGTAGGGCGACATGAAATTCATCGGGAGCTGCGCAGAAGAAGTAGCATGAGGATCGTCGTGGCAGGGGAATGAGGTTAATGAAGCTGCAGCTGCCATGTGCCGTGGAGAGAAGAAGATCAAACGAGGCGAATCCCGTTGCTGCTTTTGCCGGGCAGCATTTTTGCGGACATCAACTTCCTCAACTTTACCGAGAACTCACAACCATCAATAGCATATACATATCCTCAGTTTGCACAAATCTTGATACGAAGAAGAAATAGTGATGCTCTCCGTCAACATCGCACCGGAAATACACTTGCGTTGCACCTTGGGGGTGGCTTAGGGTTGGCGATGGACTTACCGCCAGTGCCGGCTGCGGCTACTGCCCAAGGTAAGAAACAATCATCCTGCTACACGCTAGCTTATAACCACTTCCCCTGTCGGACCAGAGGGGCAAAGTTGGCCTTGAGGCGTCCCGCTAGGTACCTCGACAGGCTCTCCCAGCATCGCGCCGTTCCGCTCGTTGCTGATGCTTCGGTGGGCAACTTACGGAACTATTTCCTGACTCGCAGCGCTGGTTTGTTGACATCGGCACTCCGTCTTGCACTGACGGATTCCAACATTCACCAATGACGGTCCGGTGGTTGGTTGTGTTCTCGGTAGTCCAATCCCAGCGAGGCGGTGTATCAGCGTGCATGTCTCAGCATCCACGGTGGATGGTGATTTAGACATGAAGATCTGCAGAAAACAACAAATGTGCTGGCGTGGGCGTCCTTCTTATCATCGACTTTTGTCAAAATGACTCCATGTGCAGTCTGGAAAAGGCGAGCTGCAGGGCACGCTCCGCTCGCTTGATCCAAAGATTCTTTGGCCCAGGCGCTTGGGCGAGAGGACCCGCAAGCCTCGACAAACTTAGGAGAGATGCCGGGATTTCGTGATCCAGAGGTCGCCGGAGATTGTTGTGGTCCCTTCCCGGGCCTTTCTGCAGAAGCAGCCACTTGCCAGCTGGCATCAGGATTCGTCAGGAATTCCAGTTGTCCTACAGACCTACTTGTACATCCACTGCCGTCGTTTTGTCCGAGGTAAGTGATGCTTGTGGCAAGCCTGCGCGAATTCCAAACTGGCCTGGATCAGCGGGTTTCGAGTCCCACCAGCCTTCTGTCCGTCTCTCATCCCCAACTCGAACATTGAAGATGGAGAGATTATTCATGGCGGGAAGGCTAGCATCATTCCCCGAGGCCTAAGTTGCTCCCAGCCCCAGAACCCCGCAGGAAAGACGCTCCAGGTCCCTTTTGCAGAGACTCGAGAAACTTTCTCCAGACTTTTTTCATTCTCCGGCAACCTGGCTGCTGGACATAGCAAACCACATTATCCCCCGTCTCCTCCTCTGAACCGATCTCTCGGATTGTCATCTCTTCTTTTCCCTGAACTACCCTTTCCTGAGGACTGCTTGTTTTTGTTTGAGATCCTCCGTATTTGGCTGGTGGTTCCTTTTTTCAGCACTATCAACAATCATGGGGGCCAGAAAGAAACATGCATCATCTCACTCGAGTCGGTACAATAGGCTTGTGACGGTGGCCGTCGCCTTTGGTTCAATGGTAAGTAGCGGTCCACACCCTTACCGTCGACTCCCTATGCTTTGCTGTTGAGAGAAAGCGACTGACTCTCGCAGACCTATGGCTACTGCTCAGCCATCATCGGCAGCACCATTGGACAGCCAGGATGGTATCAGTTCTTCGACCTACCCATGCAAGGAGAACCTGGTTATGGCGGAAAGACCACAGACGCAATTGCAACGGCAAACGGTCTATACAGCGCAGGCGGAGCGGTCGGATCTCTTTTCATTGCCTGGTCAGCCACTGCCATTGGCCGCAAACGAAGTATTCAACTCGGAGCACTCTTGGCCATCATCGGAGGTGCGTTTCAAGGTGGTGCAGCAGCCCTTGCGTAAGTTGCCGCTTCCGTGTATCTTATTTCACTCCAAAATGGACGGTCCTGATATCATCGCCAGCATGTTCCACGTGGGCCGAGTCATATCAGGTTTAGGCATTGGAATTCTCGTCACGGCCTGCCCAATGTATCTGTCTGAGCTAGCCCCCCCTGAAAATCGCGGCTGGCTGGTCGGGCACCATGTAGGTTCCCTTTATTCAAACAGATGATCCATTTTACTTACTTTTAAGGCCATCTTTCTCGTTTTTGGGTACATGCTCTCTGGCTGGCTCGGGTATGCGTGTTATTTCGCGACGGACAAGAACCCGTCCTTCGCCTGGAGATTTCCCCTCTGCATCCAGACCCTGCCCCCCTTGGTTTTGGCAGTCACGTCGCTCTGGATCCCCATGTCGCCGAGATGGCTCCTCCAGAAGGGCAGGACTGAAGAGGCCTGGACTGTTATCCAGGCTCTGCGCCGCTCCCCTGACGACCCAGACGATCTCGTCGCGAAGGAGGAACTGTATCAGACCAAAGAACAGATTGCGCTTGATGCTGCCAAGCTGAGAGCTGTCGGGTATGGACCGTGGATGGCTTGCATCAAGAAGAAGAGTTATCGCAAGAGAATGATCATTGGATTCTTGACTCAATGGGGAGCCGAGTTTGCTGGTCCCTTGGTCATCGTATGTGGAAATTCTCGGTCGTTCGTCTGCCCAGATCAAGTACTAACACGTTCTAGAACAATTACATGGTGATTCTATACACGAATCTAGGTCAGACAGGATCCATGCCTCTCCTTCTCTCCGCCGTCTGGCTCACCACAGCCGGTAAGTATTGCCGCCCCCCTTCCCGCTTCGCAAGAGCCATTTCTACTCACATATTTTTCATTGTTTCAGGTGTCATCTACAACCCGACAGGCGCCTGGCTCCACGACAAAGTCAACTCGCGTCGCTTCATGTATATGTTCGGCACGGCAGGGTGCCTGGTGACGACGTCGATTCTGTGCGCGTTGCTCGCGACCTACGCCGGCACAACAGACAAGGGCGGGAACGCGGGCGGCGTCTTCATCGTGTTCCTGTACCTGACCTTCCAGGGCACCTTCTGCGACACGACCATGTACCTGTACGTGAGCGAGATCTTCCCGACCGAGATCCGGCCGATCGGGATGGGCTTTTCGCTGTTTGGCCAGTTCGCGGCCACCATCATCCTGCTGCAGACGGCGCCCATCGGTTTCGTGAATGTCGGCTGGAAGTACTATTTGGTTATTGTGGTGTGGTGTGCCGTCTACCTGCCCATGATCTACTTCTTCTGGCCTGAGACCGCGCGCCTCTCGCTCGAGGAGATCTCAAAACAGTTCGGCGACGACGTTGCCGTGCATGTCAACGACATCAGCGAGGAACAGCGCAGGGAACTCGACGAGTTCCTTAAATCGAAGGATATCGTGCATTCGCCCCCCACCGAGGCCGAGTCTCTGTCCCCGCCTACCACCGAGATCCAGGAGAAGCCCGAGGAGAAGGTCTGAAGGTCTGAAAAATGCGGGCTAGCATAGCATGCTGTATGTAGGCAGGGCAAAAGTTTCCAGGAAACCGGACAAACTTGTACGTGCGTGACGTGCGTACACACATGCACGCGACTTTTGAGAGAAGGGCAGTCCAGTCCGTCCGTAAGGACCTGAACGCCCGAACTGAGAAGGACCGAGAAAGGATGAGGAGGCGGGGAGATGAAATAAAACGAAAAAGGATTGGGCGATGGACGACAGGAGTCTTCAGCCTTCACCCTTTAACCTTTGGGCTTTATATAGTTCAACTTCAACCCCAACCCCTTCCTCTTCCTCTTCTGCTACTGGCCGAGTACATACATGAAACGCAAATTGATTGGATATTTTGCATGCATATAATATATCTTCGGTCTATCTGTTCGATGTACGGCGAGATGGAGGGCAGGATTTCAATCTTGGAGAGGCAGGCAGAGTATAATAGGTGCAAATGCCAAAGAAGTCTACTTTTTCCTATCCTTTCCTGTCAAATCTTCATTGTATTCGTTCGTGTAAACGAGTTCACAATTCTACTGCTCGGGCGAACAATAATCTCAAGAACTAGAGGCCTCTGGACTATCTCCGTCGTGATCATGATCACCTCGCAGTTCCCCCTTCCGCCGCCCAAAATCTCCGCAGCGATTGCCTAGAAGATCGCTATACAATTCGGTGGGCTGCTAACACCCCCCTTCATATTGAAAGGAGAGCTGGCGACGAAAAACTCCCAGCGTTGTTCCCTCTTACACATCTCACTCAACGCGTCCAGTTCAAAGAGCTCTCCGATCGGCATGCCCCAACCCGCGAGTAAATATTCGTGCATAAAGAGTCCCTCTATCTCAGGCTCTCCTTCACCACGGGGAAAACTTTTCTTCGCAGGATACACTTCAAATGATATTGCATCGCTGGCCACGGCAGAGAATCCACTGTCCCACAGCCAACGGAGCATTTCTTCGGTTCCTTCAACGCCGGCGTGTTGAGGTGTCTTTGTGGTTGCGTAGGCATTTTTGTCCTCAGCTGTCATGCGCGTGTCCCATTCCTTGGTCACCCCCACGCGTACGAAGAGAATGTCGCCCCTTTTGAACGTCAAATTCTCCTCTCGAGCGATCTCGAGGAGAACACTTAGTGGGATTGAATGGTCGCTAAATGTCGAATACTCAATGCCTC